TAGAAAGACTATGGCCTGAATCAGATAAACCTTAGTCCTCAAACTGACATCATTACTCCGTAGTAATTTGGAGAGATCCCTAATTGCAGATTTTCCCAGTGCAATGCATCTCCTTATTTCCTGACTGCTGGTATAAAGGGTGTTTATCCAAGCAAGAGGAAACTGTTGACAATTTCAGTCTTCTTGATCCATCATGATGTTGCCTATCAGTCCAGTGGTAAGAATCTTTGTTTTCTTGACATTGATATGCAATCATTACTGAAGGCTGCATTCCTTGATCTTCTGCAACAACTTTTTCAAGTCCTCCTCACTTTCAGCAAGCAAGATTATTTCATCTGCATAACATAAATTATTGATGAGTCTCCTTCCAATCCTGATGATACATTCCTCTTCATAGAGTCCAGCTTCTTGAATCATTTGCTCAGCATATGTATTGAATAGGTATGAAGAGAGAATACAACCCTGGTTCACACCCTTAATCCTAAACTATGCAGAATTCCCCTGCTCTGTTTGCACAACAGCCTCTTGGTCCTGGTAGTAGGATTCGCATGAGCACAGTTAAGTGCTGTGGGATTCCCATTCCTCTCTATGTCTGCCACAACTTAAGATACATGTAGTAAGATGCCTTTGCATAGTCAATAAAACACAGGTAGATAGTCTTCTGATATTCTTTACTTTCAGCCAAGATCAGTCTGACATCAACAATGATGTCCCTGGTGCCGTGGTTTCTTCTAACTTCTAAATTTTGCTTGAACTTCTGCCAGTTTACTATCTGTGTTACTTTTCTAACCATTTTTAATTGATCCTCAGCAGTATTGTGCTTGCATGTGATATTAATGACATTGTTTGAGAGTTTCCACCAGCATTAGGTGAATTTAAGAGAATGTACACAAAACAACTATGAGATACCATCTCACTTCAGCAAGAATAGCAAAATTTAACAGAACAGTAAACAACAGATGCTGGCGAGGTTGTGGAGAAACTGGAACACTTATTCACTGTTGGTGGGAGTGTAAAATGGTGCAACCACTAAGGCTGGATGGTGCAAACAGAAATACCATTTGACCCAGCAGTTCCATTACTGGGAATAAACCCTAAAGAAAACATAACTGCCACCCAAGCAGATATATGCACACCCATGTTTATTGCAGCTTTGTTCACAATAGCAAAGAGTTGGAAACAACCCAAGTGTTCATCAACAAACGAATGGATAGAGGAGCTGTGGTATATTCACTCAATAGAATTCCATGCTGCATTGAAAAACAAGGAACGCATGCAATATTATTCAAAATGGGTGACCCTGGAGGACATTATGCTGAGTGAAATATCTCAGTCACAAAAAGACAAATACTGCCTGATGCCACTGTTATAAAAGAGAACTGACATAGGGGTTGGGGGAAGACTGAGAAAGAGGGGATAAATAATGTATACTGCATTGAAACAGATGAGGGAGAGAACTGTTTAAAAGGGATATGTGATTTCAGTATTATGGTCATGACAGGAGTCCAAAATGAAGGCAGCAAAGTCTTTGTAAACTTTCATTAAAATTAATAATTAAAAAAGAGGAAAAAAGAATCAATGGTAATAAAAGAAGTTCAGTGTTCACTGAAGGCATTGGCAAAAAATAAGGCCACCTAACCGTAGCCAGCTTCTATTTTAAGAAATATTCTGGTTTACTTCTCCCAAAGCAGTTCGTTCATTCTTTTGTTCTATTCAATATTCTTCATCAACATGACATTCAAAGGCAAAAATAAATACATACATACATACATACATACATACATACATACGTAGGTAGATAAATAAATAAATAAAATGTACAAGAGATTCTGATTGCAATTTTAAGGAAAAAATGTTAAGAGAAAAAATGAGATTCATGTATATATGAATTGTTTTTGTTATTTACCATCAAGTTCAATCATATAGCGGAGACTTTTTCCTTCGATCAGCTGGTGAATTCGAACTGTGCCTTTGAATTGGCAGCAGAACTCCTTACCACTAAGTAACGTGTGTGCGCGTGCGTGCTTTGGTTGCCTACTGGTAAGGAGCTGATCCTTTAGAGGGTTTTTATCTATTAAAAAACCATCGGGTTTTCAGAGGTAGTTAATCACACGGAGGGAGACTGCCCAATCTTATGCTTGTATGGACGGACCAGATGGACAGATAAATAGATACATTCTGTTATCAAATTCTGTATTGGAATTACCTATGATGTTGCAGTGCCAACCGAAAGGTACAAAGTTCTAATCCACTAGCCGCTCCAGGAGAGAAAGATGGAGTCTGCCATGGGGTTGACAGCCTCATAACCTGCTGGAAGGTTCAGCTGTCAGTTCTGACTCATGAGTTAGCCTTTTGTACATTTTTGTTTTTATAGTAGTACGCCATTAGAGGGCAGTATTGTACAGGTTAAGTAGCCCTGCTTAAGTATATTGACTTGACAATTTTATTATCTCCATGATAAGTAAGCAAACTTTAGGCTGTAGATTTATAATATATTGAAGTGTAATTTTAATTCAAATGTCCTTATAAATACATTTAATTAATTTAAACTAAGTTTTATAAGAGGTTGGGCTGCTGTACACTCATACTGATCTTTAGTTGGGTTTGGAGAGGTAGGTCACTGTGGCCCTGAGAGTGGAATGGAGGGAACTGTATTCAATCTCTTGATTCCGTAACCATTTGTAAGCACTACCAAAATACTTTTTTCAGGTAGTTCTGTGAATTAGCAAAAAGACTTAACTTAAAGGGGTTCTGTGCTTTGAATACATAGTTTGTAATGTTGATTGCCTTCAAGTCGAGCATGACTCATAGCGACCCTATGAACAAAAGGCCTGAAGCTCCTCTACAACTATTAACATTTATCAAAGTTCATAGAGTTTCTGGAGGCATGTTGTTTAGGAAGTGGATGCCACTTCTGCTTCCAAATAGTGAACAAAAATAAAAAGTTTTCAGTCCCTCTGATGGTAAGGAGCAGAGGTTCTTTATGGAGTTGGCACTTTCAAGATCTCACCTTTAGGCCTTCCTGGAAATAGTCTATGTATTATTTTTTCCTATAGATTTTACTTTTCTAGCTATGAATGGAAAAGGTATTAGTGAGAAGATTCTGATTGTAAAGTGAGGGGTTACCTTTTATTGTTTACAGCACTGAGGGCAATTTGGAGAATCCTTTTTTATTTAATTAACTTATGTCTAGCAAAGAATAAAACAGCTCTGGTGACCTGAAAAATTAAATGTTTAACTACTAATGGAGGGATTAGCGTTTTGAGCCCAGCTACTCCATGGGAGAAAGATGAGCACTTTACTCCAGTAAAGATTTCCAACTTTGGAAATCCAGTGAGGTCTCACTATGTATCGGATGACTAGACGATTGTGGGTTTGTTTTGGTTCTTTAGTGGTGTAGTACTTAACCTGCTTACCTACAGAAAGGTTTGCGGATCAAACCACCAGGAAAAAGATGGGAGAAACTAGATTGGAGAAAGACAGGCAGCCCCCTCCCATGCGATTTACTGCCTTTGAAAATCTGAAGGGTCAGCTATGAATCTGTTCAGACTCAAAGGTGTATAACCACCACCAGAGCCCCGTAGAGGCAAGCTCTGAACCGACTAGATGGCAGTGGGTAGCAAAGAATATGTGGTATTTGGGGGGAGTTGTTTTTCCAAGTAAAGGATAACATTCATAGAAAGCTATTCCCTCTCAAAATACAAATCTCAATCCCCTACTTTAAAAACCCACTAGCTAAAGAAACTTTTAAAAAATATATGATTGTTATCCTAATACGTAAAATCTGCTATAAAGCCCTCCCATTGCTCCTGCCTGTAAGAGCCAGAAGATGATTGAAATCGAGACACTGGAGCTCCTGCAAGTCTTTAGCGGTGGGACTGGGCATGCCCAGTAGAGCAGACGGTTCTGGTTGCAAATAGGAAGCTCTCGCCGTTCTGCAGCCACGGGGACAGGCAGCTCCGGGGGTCCGACTCCCTTAAACGTAAGCACGTGCGAAGACCCGGTCGTATTTTCTCAGGGACATTTGATGTTTTGCGCCGAAGCTGCCGCCGGGGTGGGGGGTGGGGGGTGGGTCCGCGAAGGCCCTGGGCGGCCCCGCGCAGATCCCTCCGCGCGCGGCCTGGGCCAGCCCACCCGAACCCGGAGCAGGATCAGGAGATGGGGGCGGGGAGGCGGGAGGCGGGCTGGGAAGAGGAGGGGCGGGCCCAAGGGCTGGCCGGCCAATCGGCACGGCTCCTCCCTGCATATATTATGCCCTAAAACCGGGAGACCTGGTCTAGAGCCGAGAACTGAGCTGCTGTTTTCCCAGGCTTCTCTCACAGCCCTCGGCTCCGCATCTCTCTGGATCGCCAAGACCCAGAAGCCGAGTTTCCTTAAATTAGGGCGACTGATTTGTTTGTGGGCTGCAGAAAGCTAGACGATTTTATCTAGCTTGAACAAGGCTGCAGGTGTTCCCTTTTTCCCCCCTCTCCTTTCCCGCGAGGGTGTTTTTGGCTGCAATTGCATGAAATCCCAATGGTGTAGACCAGTGGCGATGGATCTAGGAGTTTACCAACTGAGACATTTTTCGATTTCTTTCTTGTCATCCTTGCTGGGGACTGAAAACGCATCTGTGAGACTTGACAATAGGTAAATGTCGGCTGTATGGATAGTGTTTTTAAATGTACTAGTAAGAAATTTGTAATATGCAGGTGGAAGATAGCCAGCGGAATTCCTTTGTCCATTTCTGAGAGACTACGGTGACATGGATCTTGCTTTCTGAAAGCATACCCTGCTTTTCACCCATCTGGGTAAAGAACAGGCTTTTTACACATTATGTAATTTAGTCCTTCCTTTGTGGCTCTCTAAGGAAATGTCTTTCTTATCCATTACATATCGTTAAAGAGTGTTCCCAAAAAAATTATGCTAGGAACATCACAGAAGTGAGACCCTTTAAAGAAGAAATCTTGGATTTGTAACAAATTCCATTTATCGTTGATCTTTTCCCCCCTCTTTTCCAGCTCCTCTGGTGCAAGTGTGGTAGCTATTGACAACAAAATCGAGCAAGCGATGGTAGGTACCGATTTGCGATCATTGCTTCTGGATGGGTTGGAAGCGGTGCATCCAGCAGTTGGGAGGACGTGGACTGCTGTCCACTACATGTAGCAATGCCGGCGCCGACTCCATTTTCCCAGCCCGGAGCCCTGCTCGCCCGCGGCCGCTACAGGCGGAAAAAGCCCCTTCAGGGCTCTACTGCGCCCTTCCTAGTTTCGCCCCGCCGGGCAGGGGTCTTGCAGAAAGGACCCGTTTGGCTGGGAATTGGGAAGAGACTGCGGCTGGACGCCTGCCCGATCGTGGGCACGGCGCAGCGAGCGCTGTGGCTGGGGTGGGCTCCGGCGGTCCCACGGGGTGGGTGGGTGGCTCTCGGGAGACAGGCCCCCTAGGCCGTGTCCGCACAGATCCCTAGTGCTATAGGTTACCGCACAATGAAGGGCAGCCGGAGAAAAGTTTTGTTTTCTCAGCCTCTGCCTGGATTTCTCCTATTTTTTTATTTCCGCCTTGGCTGTTCTTTGTTATTGGAGCAGAGCCTGTGGCTCTTCTCACGGGATTCTCTCCCCACTGTTGCTAGGCAAACTCGGATCCTTTAATTCGGAGCTATAAATAACTCGGGCTCCGGTTGGTTACGAGGCCGCCGGTTTCTGTGACGTCAGCGTGATCGCGGCCGGGCTGTGGGGGTGGAGGGAGGAAAATGCGGCAGCATGCTCTGTAAGAACCGGCTGCAGCTGGTGCCGCGGGAGGCAGCTCGGGGCTGGCGGGGCGGGGCGGCCGCGCTGGCGTCCGGAGCCCCGAGACCCCGCGGGGCCGGCTGCCATGGTACGACACCCCCCCCGTAGTACAGCCCCCCCAGAGTGTCAGCGGGCAAGGCAATCTCGAGAGTCTCTATCACATTGAATCCAGTGGTGTGCGGCTGTGGTCGCTTAATGAACGCGAATGGCAGAACGTGTAAATGGTTAGGGAAAGCCCTGCAAAATAGTGTTTTAGAAATCCCGGAGTCTGGATAATCGCAACCTCTAAGTAAAGATTTTTGTTTTTCTTTTCCCCGTTCCCCCCCCCTCCCCCCTTCAGGATCTGGTAAAAAGCCATTTGATGTATGCCGTGAGAGAGGAAGTGGAGGTCCTCAAAGAACAGATCAAAGAACTAATCGAGAAAAATTCCCAGCTGGAGCAGGAAAACAATCTGCTGAAGACGCTGGCCAGTCCTGAGCAGCTGGCCCAGTTTCAGGCCCAGCTGCAGACTGGCTCGCCCCCTGCCACCTCGCAGCCCCAGGGGAGCTCGCAGCCCCCTGCTCAGCCGGCCTCCCAGGGCTCAGGACCCACCGCATAGCCCCTGGGCCCCCGCAGAACTGGCCGGCGCTGCCATCCAAACTGACCAGACGCCCGAGAAGATGGACTAGCGGGATCCACCTCCACAGTCACCCATTTCATTGCTCGCTGCAAAAGAGACGTGAGATTGACATATGCCATTCTCATTTTTTTCCCCTCCAGTATTAAACACTCACATGCTTTTGGCTTGAAGAAATCTCTTAGCTGAGTTAAAGGTTAATGAGAGAATTAGCATGGATATACTGGGACCTTATGCAGCTTGGCAAATACCTGAGAAATGGTTTTATTCTTGCTGAGGAGCTGTGTGCCTTTCCATCCCTGCACTGCTCCCCACCCCTACTTCAAGAGTTCTCGTCTGCTTGCAAGTAGTTGGATCCATGGGGTTATGACGCAGTGGAGTCCTCCATGGGCTGCCTTCCCCTCTTTCCCCATGAGGAACCTGAGAAGAAGGTTAAAGACTGTACAGCCTCGCTTCTCCTGAGGGAAAACATAGTTCATTGTACAACTTGACTTCTGTCACCAAAACCCATAAACAATAGTACTGTGCCTCTTTCTGAAACAGTGAATGACACAAAACTATTAGTGACTAAACGGTGGCAGGTAGCTGGGACCTAGGCTATCTTTACCATGAAGGTTGTTTTGCTTATTGTATATTTGTGTATGTAGTATACTATTTTGTACAATAGAGGACTGTAACTACTATTTAGGTTGTACAGATTGAAATTTCAATGTTTCATTGGCTGTCTGAAGGGGTGTAGATTGTCTTTTCTATTTAGATCTTCATATAAAATGCTCTGTGAAGAAACCACCCCTAGAGAAATTTAAAAGATTTGGCACAATTAGTCTCTTTGTGTAATCTGAAGTCTTTTAGCTGCTGAATATCCGAAGTAAGTCCTTGTTACTAAAGTCTTTTGATTGAGCTGGTTGAATACTTTGAACAATGATCCGTTCTAGCTAAGGAAGTGGATTTCCCAGTAGAGGTTTCTGCATATTACCTGTATAGTAGTTATATGCATATGTTTCTGTGCATGTTCTCTACACACTTGTAAGTTGTCACTGTATTTAACTGTTGCACTTGTCAACTTTCAATAAAGCATATAAAATGTTGATAAACAAGTGTTTCCATATTAGAGTGTTAACATATTGTTGGTCATTTCCTATAATATTTCCAGGTAAAGTTACTTGACTAGTAAAATCTGAGGGGATGTTGGGATGCCACTAGTTAATTTGAGTATAAATGTGAGAAGAACTTGGTTAACTGTACATCCAAGAAGGGAAGAGCTATGGCGAAAAATGAGCTTAATTCTACTAACCAGATGTATGGCCTGCACCAAGTCACTTTGCCCTTCTGATTTGATGTAGGGAACTGAAAGATCCTCTCTAAACTCCCCTGGGGCCTTAAAATCCTTGGGAGTACATACAAATCTGGATCTTGATGTGTTTCCTGAACTGAGAACAGCTTTATTCTTCATATGATTCCAACAAGCAGCTCTAGGATCAAAAGATGGAAATTACAGAGAGGCTGATTCAACTTAAAAGAACTCACCCTGGATTGAATTTTCTTTCTCAGATTAGAATGTGTTTGTAGTACTTCGAAATATCCAGGTAAAAAGGAAGTGCTGCTTGTGTGGATTTTGCAAAAGGGATTCCTGTCCTGGATGTGCCTTGAGGCACAAAGAAAGTAAGACTATAAAAGTGATTTAAATGGGAAGAAAGAAATCCTAAGGTGCCTTGAAGAGTAAGCCTGAACGATCACTTATTTCACTGTAGAAACCATGCCAATGAGTAAGTGGCATGGTTGGTTATCAACTGTCCCGGGAACTCAGCAGCAGACCCTCCCTGCCACGGGAATTCCCATAGGGCATTTCCAAACGCCAAAGTCCACCTAAGCCCTTGCAGGACAAAGATCTTTGGAACCCATCCTGTTTAATATGGAAGATGATGGGAGATTGATGAGCAAATGTCACTCAGCTCTCTAAAAACAGTCTTGAGTGGTGTGTATCTGACAAAGCTATTAGTAAGGTGTTAGTAAGGCCACGTGTTGTAGCAGTAGTGCAATTACCATCTGTGATGCTACCAGACAGGAATTTGAAAAGAACTTAAAAAGATGGTTGTTCTGTCAATTTGAAGGTTAGAAAGCTTTAAGTAAAGGATACTTTTGTAGTAATTTCATTTCCTTCTGGCATAGTTCATAGGGAGTTTCCTGCTAACCCAAAGCCTTTACCCCTATGATGCTCCTCTCCTAATGGCTCCTAGGAAATAAGATGGACAATCCTGTGTGATATATAAGCCTCAGAAACTCAGAGGGTCAGCTGTGAGTGGATTCCAACTCAATGGCAGTGGGTTTGAGGTTTGGTGGTTGTTTTGGTTTTTTGGGGTTTTGTTTTTTGTTTTTTCTTTTAGTAAAAAAGGAAAGTAGTGAATAGAAATCTCTGGCCATTTCATCTTTTATGGTTTTTTATTGAAGCTCTTCAATACCAAAAGTAACTGAAATATTGAAAAATATCAGCATTAAGATGGTGGAGAACTTTCCATCACATAATGTAATCTAGAGCCTTTTTAAAAATGAAATTCCTGTGAAATTTTAGTATTTCATGTGAAATGTTATTCCAAAATACAGTTGAAGTGCCATGAAGCCATCAGAAAAGAATGTTTAAAATCAAAGTTGGTTTTCCCCACACATTTCTCTTTTTGATGATCACTGAATGAGAATTTTAAGTCATTGACTTGTATTTTAAGTAGTATTTTAAGTCATTTTGAAGTCCTTTACTATTTGCTGACCTGTGGGTATTTACAGACTGATGCTGAACCATGTAGGTGAGCAGCAGGGAAGGTTTCTGAAGGGAATGGAATGTCGCCCCACAGTAGGGCAGGCAGTTACGTGGTCAGATTTGGCAGGAAAGTTGTCCACTTTAAAAAGAGAAACACAAGGAATTTGACACCATTTTAATGAAGGTCTGCTTTCTGTTTCACATTAGGAAATGTTCATAATTAGGTAATTCTGCAGTGGTTTTTTTTTTTACTTTGATAGCACAAATTTTTTATTATGCAATGAATTATGAAATACCATATCCATTTTTAAATGCTTTTATACAAGAAATGTATCAAAGTTCATTACAAGGCTTTATAAATGGAAATTCAATGTCAACATTACTCTTCTTTTATGTAAATGGTCAGGTCCTGTCAACACAATTGCTTATGGACGTTAACTTTAAAAACCCAACTGGATTAGACACGGAGGCAGAGAATATTTTCTGCGTCTTAGGTAGGGTAGCCTGAAAATGGCGAGAGGTGACAAGCAATATAACTTGGAAGCAGAGCTTGCGGTAAGCTTTCTCCATTGGTGTGTTCCTGTGAAAGAAGAGTTGAGTGGGCGACTTCTGGCTGCAGAATCTGAACTTGCTGAAATCAGGAACCTGGTACCTTCATAAAGTGGTTTCTTGCTGTAAGCACAGAATGATGCTGCTTGATGTGTTTGAGTTTTGAATGAAAAGTAGTCTTGCTGACCTGCTTCCATCTTTAAAACAAGTTGAATCTGATCATTAAAATTCTGTTTTGCTATAAAATGTGCCAATCCTTTGTCAGTAATGGTGATGGACAGTATGTTGTTTGCTATTTTCTTGAGCTAAAATGCATAAATTTAGTTTTATTTTCTACCACCTGTCAGTTCTGTGTTGGTTTGTGTGTTTCTGTGATGCTGGAAATTTTCAGTAGTAGTCCAAATACCAGCAAGTCCCCCATGTTGGACAGTTTTCAGTGGCTCTACCAAAGTAAGACAGACTAAAAAGAAAGTTTGGCAGTCTGTTTGTAGAAATTAGCCAAAGTTACAAGTCCTATAGATTACCTGTTGATTTCACGTAGGGCTGCAGCTGGTAATTTGGATCCACAGAGAAAGTTAATTAGTCTCTTTCCCTAACAAATGACAGCCTTGGGAAGCTGATGGAGGGTAGGTAGTCTGGCATTATAATGGACTCAGTGACAGTGGGTTTTGGAAGATGAAACCTGTGGGGAGTTGCTTTGGGAAGCACTCACGATTCACAGTGACTTAAACAATGATCTCAAGTGTATCAGCGATCATGAGAAGAGAACAGGGCAATGTCCTATTCTGTCCTATGTCACCATGAGCTGAAATGACTCAACAGCAACAATTTGTTGTTAATCATCTCTAATAGTCACTAGCTAAATGATTTTGAGTGAATGATTTATTTATTTCTATCTTCTTGCTTCAAAATGAGAACCTGAGATGGTCAGAGGATGTGTGTTGGGATAATACCAGGCTCTACAGCACAGGCAGTTGCTCAGACTGTTAAATGAATGTTAACTATTGCTATTGGTTTTGAGTCATTCAAATTTTTATTCACATTTTTATACATCAAAGAATACTTAAATGCCTTCAAGAAAACTGATTTATGTGAGGTAAAGAAGGTATTAGCAATTCCCCATGTTAACAAATAATAGTAGTGGTAGTAAATAAACAATTAAGAAATGGTAACTTACTAACCTCTCTCTTAAATTAGTCCGCTGTGGATAAAACTGCAAAGAGAACTGTGGAACACCGGGCAAACCTTTCGTCATTGGAATTGGTGACCAAAATTTCCCAAGAAGTACTGGAAGTGACCATTAATAAAAATGTGTGAAACCACTACAATACAAATTTGTGCTCCAAACTGGCTGTTTGGGATACTAATGTCTCAAGGATCTGACGGACGTTTCCTAAGAAGTGAAAGACTAGAGGAAGTGATGGTAACTGGTAGCTGGAGAGCTTATCTCTCCACCAGAGCAGCTCTATGGAAATCCAGGAATCGTGTTTCCAGATCTTCCAGTTTATCAACACACAGAAACTTGGGCTTCTGTTTGGAAATTCCTGATTTGTGAATACTGCAGATCAAACAAAAGCACATAGAAGTTTTTTTTCAAATTTTTTTGGTGGTTGTTGAGAATATACACAGCCAAACAGCCACCAGTTCAACACTTCCCCCACATACAATTTAGTGATCAGGACATTTTTTAAGTGATGCAACCATTCTTGCCCTCCTTTCAAGTTGTTTCCTCCTCCATTAACATGAACTCACTGCCCGCTTATGGCCCTATCCAATCTTTTGAGTTGTTTTCACTTTGATTTTACAGAGAGAGATCTCAAGGGTATTTTTGGCTTAAGGTGTTTTTGACTTAAATTTTTTAAAGATTATCTCAAGGCAGTGGTTTCAGGGGTTCCTCTGTGTCCAAAGAGCATGGAGGCCATGACCATTTGAAATAGTAGCCAAACACCATCTAATTCTGGTCTTGTAGCAAAGACACAGAGTTCATGGAAGCAGTTAGACACACTTTCCATACTCCCTGCCTGTTCCTGACTCTGCTTTTGCTCCAAAGAGAGGCCAATTGTCATGCCTTGGTCAACCACTTGAAAGCTTTTAAGGTTATGATCCCAGTTACCAAATGAATGTTAGTTGCTGTTGTACTGGTTCCAGTTCATAGTGACCTTGTGTGCAACAGGAGGGATTACTGCCCAATCCTGTGCCTTCCTCACCTGAACCCATCATTGCAGCCTCTGCTGTTGTGTCATCTCGTTGAGGGGTTTCCCTCATTTTCAAACCAAACATGAATTGTTTCTTCATGGACTGGCACCTTCTAATAACATGCCCAAAGTATGTAAATGAATTCTCACCATTGTCACTTCTAAAAAGCATCCTGGCAGCATTTCTTCCAAGACAGATTTGTCATTCCTCTTTGACAGTCTGTGGCACACTTAAAATTCTTTGCCAACATCGCATTTCAATGGCATTGATTCTTTCTTAGTCTTAGATAGAAAAGTGGTATATCCTATACACCCTTAACTTCCAAACCAAAGAAAGAAATCCTGTAAGGTGTTTGGTTGAACATATGCAGCTTCAGAAGCTACTCTTTCCCCCTCCTTTCATTGTTGTAAGTGTATCTGTCATACTACTTTTGGCAGTTCCATTTTTTTACAGGTCTGCAACTTAATATTAAGGTTCTCTGCAGTTAGTCCTTGAATCTGACTCCCCCCCCCACCTTTTACTGTTAACCTTCTCTGCCCCCTTTTTTTATTACTGACCTTAATAACAACTGATTTTGTTATATTTGCGTTTTAA